GGATTCTAGCGTTATAAGTCCGCAGACATACCGCGGGGTGGGGGGCGTTTTTCACATGGAAAAATGTCATAATCAAAATTCTTAAATGAGAATTTTCCCAGCCTATTTTGACTAAATTTCTATTCCTGAGATCATTGTGAATTAATAAAGAAATTGAATAGGAATTAGGACAAAAATCTTGGGGAATCTTTTACATTTACGAGTTGCAAAAAAAAAAGAAGAGAGAGAGAGAAAGAGAGGCATTTCCCTCATTATGTATTGATAACGTATCAAATTTTGCGGTACTTTATCCTGCGTCTTTTGATTGATGTGTTTGAGGTTTCAGCCATCTTTGGATTTAAAGATTCCACACCCAGTGGTAAGTAATGTTATCAACTAATTGTTAATTATCTTGAGTCATGCACATGGAAATTTATAAAAAAAATAAATGAATAATTGAATATCTTTTTTCTGGTTCTCGTTCTTAAAAAACACACACGATATTTCTATAATAATTTGTGTTTCAAGTGGAGTGAAAATCGCTGATCTCCGGCTAAAGTTTCTCTATTTGAGTCAGTCACATGCTTAATTTTGCCTAATACCTACTTTCAACTCTGTAAATTGATCTGTATAGTAAGTACGGTTCCTGTGGTTGTTTAAGACATACCATGTTCACTCAAAAGTGTACAGTAGTCACATCACGAAGTTAAAATTGTGCTATGTTTTAAGAGAATGTTTTCTATTTTGGAATAAATCGCTGAAAATAATGTTAATTAAAAGTTTAGAAATTACACCTGTGATTACTATATTTGGAACCACAGTCGTTCGTTCGTAATGCCATTTCATTTAGATAAATATTTCATGATTTATCGTGAATGTTTGAAATGCAATGTGTCGTTTCCAACAGCGACATCATAACCACCTTTTAGCGTTTCGTGTTATGTACATTTAACCCAGGTTTACTACTATCATAACTTTAACATGAGGAATTAACCATTAACTTCTGGATTTTCGATATTGGGGAAGTGAATAAATCATTATTTCAGGTTTTCATCCTAACATTTTACAGATCGTGTAATGTGTTTTCTCTTGCTATATGACAGGAAAATAAATTTTCTAATTTCGAGAGGGGGGGGGGGAGTTTTCCTCCAAGAATTGATTTCCTCCTCCCAGTTGGTCATTCTCATGTCTGTAAAAAAAAAAAAAACTATTCGAATTTCTTGATGTATCAATAAGTTTAGGTTATGATATTCAAATGCAAATATCACATTTAAACAATTACTAAGTGCGAGACGATGACGAAAATCAGTAAAAGAAACACGAAAAGTACGACTTATCTCAGACAAAATCTTTATTTTACCAACGAGTGCCAGTGATCTGCGTTTGATGTGGACCAGGTGAGTTTATGATGAGTAATTAGTAATTATTATCTTAATTCTGATTCAGCCGTAAGTCGTAGGAATTTACTATTTATCCAAAGAATACACTTACGATTAAATACAATGAATTGGTTTTGCTTTAACGCCACATAAGTGTATTGTTATTTGAACTAGCAGGGACCTGAGAAAACATTTGATTTTAATTCGGGCCTATCCTGTCCCTAAATTCAGCAGCTACAAGTAAGTAAGTAATTATAAGTCTTATAATTAGACTAGCAGAGACCCGCAAAACATTTGCGGTAAAATTAGTATCTTTATTACAACAATACTTCTTTAAGTACAGGATTTCTATAATAATGCAAAATAATTGTAATCTCGAACACCGAAATCTATAAATCTACTTGTCTGAGGCCTAACATTAGTTAAGCCTTTATTAATCACGGCCTATCTATATAAGTAAACACCAATGTGTGTGTGTGTCTTTTTCTCATACGTTTCCATATTTCTTGATAAATCGGGACCAAACTTGACACATTGATACAGAATGACATGAGGGGGGGACAGAATTCTTGAAAAACATGTGTCTTTCTTTTCAGTATTGGTACTTTTATGTATTTTTATTGCACTTTTAATGTTTATTATGTTAAGAAAAAAAAATACAAACCTAATTTCCTATCCTTTGTTACAAACGAGTTTTTTTTTCACCCGTACAACGGACGGGGGTACACCAGCTAGTATTCAATAACGATGAAGATAACACTAACTTGTGTAAGTTTTTCTCTTTAGTTTAGTTAGGGCTACATTTTACCATTCTTAATACTATGAATAAATAAACGTATCATATTTTACGACCCAATGTTGTAAACAATTTGATAAGCTTTTAAACGTTGTAAAAAAAACGCCTACTAAACTTTATTCTACATCCGTTGAAGTAAAGTGCGTGCACATGTACATTTAACAGTAAGGTGCGCGCGCATTTTTAGGACAGACAAAATAAAGTATTATTACAATAGATAAATCGGTATTGTTGAGTGGTGTCTCAATAACTACTGAAAATAAAAATCAGTGGGACTCGCACCTTGATCTGCTTATCATTAGTTCTGTACCTCTATGGGTGAGTGATAAGTTTACGGAGCCACAATGCTGAAATCTGCGGTTCGATTCCCCTTCCTGGACAGAGTACAGAATAACCCATTCTGTATTTTTGCACTAAGAAAACAACAAAACTACTGATAATTATAATAGGTCAAATGATCTGTAGACTTTGCTAGAAAATGAAAAGGCTTGAGCTAAATTTTAAACCAGTTGTATACATCTGATAAGAAGTATGATGATAATTTTCAGCAAAAATAAACATAATCACTCACACACAAGAAAACAACAACATTATAATGGAACTAAAAATGTTAAATTATCTTTCCACTATCAATCCTTGTTGTCATAACGGTTAATGTATATGGCCATATCACCATATCCACACGCGTTCAGGATTATCCGTTATGACTTAAAGATGGCAACAAGGACTGACTAAATAAAAAATAGCGAGACTAAAAATAAAATTGTTTTATGGTGCTGATTTTATTAACAATTAATGTATTTAATAACATTATAATTAGAAATGTAATCGCGCTTTTTTTTGTTTTAGAATCTAACATATATAATTGACATATTACAATAAATACACTATAATATTATTTTATCTAATCATTTATACCCTGCAAGATAATGATGGACGAGATCAAAATTTTTAAAACGATTTTCAAGCAGTTAATTCGTTCTAACCTGGGTTCTTGGTTTACGTTACGTTGTCACTGCATCGCGTTCTGTACTTTGGAGCTGTAGATGTATTATAAGTGTGACGGTCAAATCCTACTATTCGATTAAAGTAGCCGAAGAACAATTGATGGTACATGATGGCCTTCTCTGTAGTCTTATCAGTTTAAAATCAGGGACGATTAACGCAAGTAACAGAAACGTTTTCTCATTTTGAATCGGTAGTTTTTCTGCTGACTAGAACCCTTTCCATTTGAAAGAGTAGTGCTCTCCTAGCATCCTGTGTACTCGTCACTTGTCTTCGTTTTACAGTTTTCTTCTCCGTACAAATAAACAATCTGTTCTTCATACTTTCTTTTCTTCGACTCGTTTAGGTCATACATTCGGTTTGATTGCGTGGTGAACTTCTTGTCGTACCTCTAACTATTGTATTTTTAACTGAAATTTATTAATGTGCCTGAAAATACCACATACTTAAGTTGAGAAGTTGAAATTTTGGTGCCTTGATCTCAAGTTTTTTAAACTGTTTTATTATTATTAATTTTTTTAATATGTAATTTCTTCCTGTTCTTATTACCCTTATAAATGTGTGATCTGAGCTACTTTAAAATGACATTTTCCTGGTGGGGAATTTATGCACAAGGGAAGGAATTTGTTTTGTCACCAACAGTAGTTCACAGTCTGAGAATGTGACACAATCTATAGGAGTTGTCTCCTGAACGTCGGTCTTATTTTTGTTCTCAGTCCAGCATCAAGTTTATGGATAACTTCAACCAAGGATTTCCTGGGGCGTTGACCCTATTTTAACCCTAAATTTGGTGCAGGGGAAATATGGACAACTAAAGGCCGCATTAATGACCTGCTGTTTGAAAGCCCTGAGACTAAGTGGTGATGTCTCTATATAAGACCAACATTGTTACTGATTAGTGGGAATGAACCCATAGCTAGAAGGTTGGATGTCACAATGGAGAATGAACCCAATAACAGAGCTGTTTCACCAATAGAAGACGCATTAGGTAAAGAGGGGACCTTTGGGACAAATGAGAGCTTCTCTGCACTTAAAGACATGCTGGTGGTACTACTAGGGGTGAAGTATACACCTGGAAAAAAGTTAAGCACCCCCGTGTTTTTTTCAAGTGATTCAGATTCGACGTTCTTGTGACTGATTATAAATTACCATTCAATCTAAACGTGTTTATCAAATGAAATTATGCATTATTGGGCACAAGAAAACAAGATTATCACCGTAAAATAACAATGTTTAATTTACATAGCATGACATCAAAATATGGACAGTTTTCACGCTTAAAATTATCTTCAATAAGTATTGTCAGTGAAAGCTCAAAAACGTTATTTAATTGTCAAATCACATTAC